TGAGAGTTAGCAAGCAACCTTGGCCTCGTTCTTTTTGAGGATAACAATTCCCAACCTTTGCTTACTGCGTTCTTTTGTCTTCTGCTTTCTGTTCGAAAAAAGAAAAGTACAAGCAACTACATCAACTCCTTCGGACCCTGACGTGAACTCTAGTCGCTTTCCTTCTCTACGTTAATTTCTCTTTAGCAAGAAACCCTCGACCGATAGGGAGAGGAACGAAGTAGCTCGACTGAAAGAAGAGGAGAGAAAACCACTCGACTGAAAGAAGAGGAGAGATCGTAGAAGAGGGGGAGGTTATGCAATACTCGACCGAAGGAACGAAGTAGCTCGACCGATAGGGAGAGGAACGAAGTTGCTCGGTGAGTCAGGTAGGGCAGAGAAAATGAATTCAACAATTCCATGAGCGGTGGTTGGAGAAACCTAACCCCTGAAAACCAATCGGCCAAGATTACGTGAAATTCAGGATCGAATACATCTTTGGCTTATGAGTTATGCGTTTTCTCTTCTTGATAGAGGGGCGATCATAGGTTCACCTAGACAAGAAGGTAGCAAGGCAAAAGAAAAATCCAGCATACCCCGCAGACTAAAAAAACAGGATGAGGGTTGGGTGGTTTATCCCAAAGGTCCCAGTCATGGATATTCCACAATAGGATGAATGGTGGTAGAGATCTCTCTCTCCAATAAAGTAGGTGAAGTGGTTGAATTCTGCGAGCTGTTCCAACCACTGCTGGATGTGATTCCAAGAGCCGAACGAGAATGAATACCACACAAAATCTGGGCCCCGTTGTTAGCGACCTTTGTGATCATTAGAAAAAAGGGAGTCTGGTTAGTTCAGCTATCACTGCTGGAAGCCCCTGCGTTTGTTCGGCTGTGTACTCCCCGTCCGCGTATCTCACACTCCCACCGAAAAAACCGAACTTCCAGCCCTATACAGAAGGACTTCTTTTTTCCTTTTCCATTGGGGACAACCCTTTCAATTGGCCCATCACCTCCCATCACCGCCCACCCCAACCTTTTTCATTCTCCCTTGTTTTGAGTTTTTTCATTCTGCCTCGTTAGGGCCCACAATGCACACGCATTTACTCTGGGGACGATTTTCATAAGGCCCAAACTCTGTTAATTATTATATGGGGACGAATATAGCATGGATGTCCCTTATTTAACTTAAATTATGATTCCGGTGACTAATAAAAACGATCGTCCCTTATACTGGTCCCTATAAATCATTAATTTTGTAGTGTTAGATTACTCTATTGAAATTAAGAATGCATTCAAATCCCTGATATATATGTATCTTTTAATTTCAAATGTATCATATTGTTGGTGATTTACCTTTAAAATATAGTTTTTATAATTAATTTCAAGAAAAGAATACCTATTTAGCAAACTAGAAGTGTAAAATTGTAAAGCGTTTTGGTGAAGTAGAAGCGAAAAAGCGTAAGATTTTAAGTTTCAAAATCAATTTAGTCTAATTTTATACACCAAAGATTTTACATGGAAGCGAAAGCGTTTTGGTGACCTAGAAGCGTAAAATTGCAAACTTTTAAACTTTAAAGCGCGATTTTGCCTGCATTGGTTGAGTGGGTGGGTTTTAGGGTTTAGGTTTAGTTGAAGGTAAAATTGTGTGTGTTTGGGTAGTTTAGAGCATTAAATTCACATCGTTCGGCGTTAATAAAATTTCAATTGGAAAAGTGAGGCAAAGAAGGGTTTTTTGTGTGGTCTAATTGAGAAGAGAGAAGGAACAAGATAAGAAACTATTGGTGTTTATTTATTTTTGAAACTAAATAGAAATATTAGAATTTTAATGAATTTTAGACTGACGAGACAATGACATGGTGTGTTGACTATTAATCAGCGATGTTGACCATTCAACTTAACGATAAACCTATTGTTAGACCAAATTTGTCTGGATGATGCATAGTTTAAGTCAAGATTGGTATTAAAAAAACCATGTGCCAAGGTAGTCTATATGTGTAAAGTTCATACCAATTTAAAGTATTAACCCTATTAAAAGTGAGCAATTTAAATTATTTGACACCATGCCTTACATTACACCTATCACTATGGTAACAACTAATAACCCTCATCCGGTAAACCGGCCAGACAAAATGCTAGTTAAATTATGAAAAAAACTACACAGTACCTCGACCCGTTGGCCGGTTGCAATATGATAATCGTAATTAACAAAAATTCAAATTTAAATTGCTAGGGAAATAGAAAATTAGCATCCATCATAAACTTAACGTTGTCATCGATGCCTTTTATGCACTTTTTTGCTGAAATTAAAAAGATATGACTAATGCAAGGTTATATCAACTCATTATAAATTTAAAGACACAATATTATAAATATTTCAAATTGACCAATATCAGTACCTTTTTACTATCAAGCATATCAATCATCAACTTCACTATCTTCATTATCAACATGTATTTTTCACAAGCATGTTTAATTTGTTGGGAGATTACTTTTTGCCATAGTTGATAATTTTCAAAACTATTAATTCGTTATGAGATTTGTGATGTTATGATAAGTTAATCACTAAACTTAATATGAACTTCAACTACATTCTTTTTTTTCCGCAAATACTCCATCCATTCATTTTATAATTTCACCTTGAGTGAAATTCAATCACCAATATCAAATTTAGGTTACATCACTTATTTTTTTAAACTAACTTTAATTAAAGAGTATAGTTTTTTCACTGACAACGCTGACTAATCACCAATAGATGAACATTAACAACTCAAGTACTACTGAACTAATAACATAAGAAATGTTTATGTAACTTGAGGTTCAGAAATAAAGAATAATGAAATGGCTCTGATGAACATTTCATCAATAGCTCAGCAAGAATTTTGTTGAATTGAGTAATGGTTCTTTTTCATAAAGTTGTCTTCAAAACACATTATCTATACTTGAACTAAAATCTAGAACTTTAGTAAATCATGCAATTTAAAAATCAAAAGTTATACATGTAAGCTGGTATTGCCACACCCACAATGTACATAGATGATATGAATTTATTAAATAATGTTTGTTTTTCCAGAAATCAACTTGCAATTGCTTTTTGCCATAATGACTTTGAAATTTACACAAGCAATGATATTACTTATTAGTGATGGATTAGAAATTAAAGTTTAGATTAATATTTTTGTAGCGCGCGCCGAACATATTCCTTTACCTTTGAATAAAAATCGACCATATTTTTGAATTGTTAAGTTAAAAACCATATGGAGTTTCTTTTTTATACGACATAACTGAATTCACGTCGAAAGACCCCAACCCCAAAATAGTTAGTAAAAAATTGGTTAATATCCATCTAATACATATATTCTATCAAATGCGCTTAAAACACCTATAATACGTTTACATTTACATTTATTTTTACATTCTAAATTTCTTTCATTATTGATACCAAACTTTTAGTCATTATGATTGTTTAGAGGAACGTTTAAAATTCCATACATATTAATACCGCATCACACCAATAACTTTTTTATTACCAAAGAAAACCATGGATACCATATATTTGTTAGTGATGGATTAGAAATTTACACAAGCAATGATATTACTTATTAGTGATGGATTAGAAATTAAAGTTTAGATTAATATTTTTGTAGCGCGCGCCGAACATATTCCTTTACCTTTGAATAAAAATCAACCATATTCTTGAATTGTTAAGTTAAAAACCATATGGAATTTCTTTTTTATACGACATAACTGAATTCACGTCGAAAGACCCCAACCCCAAAATAGTTAGTAAAAAATTGGTTAATATCCATCTAATATATATATTCTAGTAAATGCGTTTAAAATTTTCATTTACGTACTAATATTGTGTTGTCTCCTTATTTTTTGTTTGTTTAATAGTTCAAGTATTAAACACCTATAATACGTTTACATTTACATTTATTTTTACATTCTAAATTTCTTTCATTATTGATACCAAACTTTTAGTCATTATGATTGTTTAGAGGAACGTTTAAAATTCAATACATATCAATACCGCATCACACCAATAACTTTTTTATTACCAAAGAAAACCATGGATACCATATATTTGTTGGAGGATTATAAAACCATGGCTATATGTGTTGGAGGATTAATTAAAGGCCCATAAAATTGCGATCATGTTCCAACTTCGAACGGAAGGGATGAATGTGTTGGTTTGATTGTTCTCAAGGCCCATATAATGCAGTAGAACTTAAAAAGACCAAATGCTCCCTCCGTGCTCTGCGCCGGAGGCCGCAAAAGTGAAACTAAAGGAGTTTCTAAGAAGCACCTTCATATATTGATTGTTTGATGTTTGATTTGATGATGATTTGATTGTTTGATTTAATGTTTGATTGATGATTGGATATGGAGGATACGTTTGGAAGTAAATAAGATCTAAGTACAACTATCATTCGATTTTTGAGCTGACCATCAATCCTAATAATCAGTTTTTTTTTTTTGAGGGGCTAATAATCAGCTTATTTAACCTTGAGTGATTCAGTAAAGATTGCTGACCACCATATCAGCCAGAATTACTTGTGTGTTTTTTTCTTTCTTTCTAAATTGTTAAGTTAGCTGTTAGTGTTCTTACTTTCTTGGTCAACTGGTTTTTGCAGTAGTAGATTAAATTAATCGATTGATTAGTTTGATTCTTCTTCTCGCAGGCCGATTCCATGGAGGAAGCCAGTTATAGATTGAATCGGCCGACCAAGTTCCGCAACAGAAACAGAGAGGAGAAATCCACCACGCAGAGAGGAGCTTCAGCGGACTCTCGACGCCATTCTCCCGATTAGACAACTGCAACAAGATAATAAAAGTAAAAAAAAAGTCAACTCTCCAATTTTGACTTGGATTGCGGTCCCGTTATTCTTCCCCGTAGTATCACGTCACTAGACAGAGACCCACATCTTTCTTTAATTTGGGTGGCGTGCTGTACATCTAAGATTCCCCTTCCTAGTATCCATTGACATCAGAATATAAATATACCATTAGAAACTCAATTTACAACTGCCAGAGCCAAACGAATGTACCCTGCCAAGAAAGAGTCTTCTCCTTCCGCCGCACATTCAAGCGACCGCCGCTGACCTCCGATCTCAATTGTGGCAACATCGGCTCCAATACCCACAAGCCCAAGAAATCAATGACGCGCTGGGTCTTCACATTCTGGGTTCTTCAGCTCTGCTTCCTACACCTTGCCGATGCTACGCACTCGAGCAACGAGACGGATCGGCTGGCGTTGCTCGAGTTCAAGTCCAAGATTTCCGACGACCCTTTGGGAGTTTTGAGCTCGTGGAATGATTCCGCTCATTTTTGTCTTTGGGGCGGCGTGTCCTGTTCCATACGGTACTCCCGAGTCACGGTCCTGGATCTGAATTCCAGTAGGCTCTCTGGCTCCATTTCTCCACACATCGGCAATCTCACCTTCCTGAAGAAGCTCGATCTCAGCAACAACACATTCCACGACGCAATCCCGCCCGAAATTGGCCGGCTACGTAGATTGCGGACTCTGTTTCTATACAACAACTCGTTGGGCGGCGAGATTCCGTCCAACATCTCGGGATGCTCTGCTCTGGCCGAGGTCCATGTCAGAAATAACAAACTGGTGGGAAGCCTACCTCGGCAGCTCGGCTTCTTGTATGGGCTTCAATTCTTTCACGCAGGAGGAAACCGTCTAACAGGGAGCATCCTTCCTTCTTTCGGCAACTTGACATCTATCCGGATCCTAGCATTAGGCGATAACCAATTGAGTGGAAGAGTTCCTGAGGCTCTAGGACAATTGAAGAAGAGCCTTGAGGAACTGCTGCTGCATCGTAATTACTTAAATGGTGAAGTTCCCGCTTCCATCTTCAATCTTACTTCTCTTACAGTTCTCTCCTTGGGAGAGAATAGACTCCAAGGAAACCTTCCATGGAATCTAGGAACATTACTTCCGAATCTTGAGAATTTTTACGTGCCCTTTAACCAACTCACGGGTAGTCTTCCACCTTCTTTGTCCAATGCCTCGAATATGGTCCAACTTCAACTGCAAGTCAACAAGTTTACAGGGAGTGTGCCTAGTATGGCTAGCTCTCACAACCTTCTGCGTTTAAACATTGCCGAAAACTTTCTTGGAAGTGGCAAGGTTAATGGTGATGATTTGGGTTTCCTTTCTACCTTGACAAATGCAAGAAAATTGCAAGCCCTGGTCATCAGCACCAATAATTTTGGAGGCAGCCTACCGGAGCAAGTTGGCAACTTGTCATCCAACCTTGAGATACTTGTGTTGGATGACAATCAAATATCAGGAAGCATCCCAGAGGGCTTACGAAACATGTTCAACATGCAGTGGTTTTGGGCAGATAAGAACAAACTATCAGGTACAACAATACTATCCATTATCGGGAACATGCAAAGCTTAGTGCAGTTGCGTTTGGACAACAACAACATTGCAGGATATATTCCTTTGTCTATTGGAAACTTGGATAAATTGCTCGTATTGCGCTTGGCGAATAACCATCTAGAAGGAGAAATTCCTACATCTATTCAGAACTGTAGAAGTTTGATACTTTTGGACTTATCAAACAACGATCTAAGTGGTGTGATTCCCCCACAACTCATGGGTCTTACTTCCTTATCAATGAACTTGAACTTGTCTCATAATCATTTTGTTGGCAGCATCCCCATCGAAGTGGAAAATCTGAAGAACTTGGGTTCATTGGATCTATCCTATAACATGTTATCAAACAACATTCCAAGTAGCCTTGGTAAATGTGTCAGCTTGGAGTTTGTGCAATTGCAAGCTAACCTCCTCAGAGGAACAATTCCTTCGTCTTTGGATTCATTAAGAGGTATTCGACTATTTGATGTTTCAAGCAATAACTTATCTGGTCAATTTCCCATATTCTTTGAGCAAATGAATTCTCTACAATTATTGAATTTGTCTTATAACAAGTTTGAGGGTGAAGTGCCAGCGACGGGAGTTTTGAATAATAGCAGAATCATTTCAGTCATTGGAAATGTCAATCTTTGTGGGGGATTCGCTGAACTTAACCTTCCACATTGTAGTTTCAGACAACCAAAGAAGAGATTGAGCTATAAGTGGAAAGTTTTTATATCAACCATCTGTAGTATCGTGCTCTTGTTCTTTCTTGGGACTTGCTTGCTTGTCTTTTGGATGAAAAGGAAAGGTAAACTACATGTAGTTTCCAGTGACGATGATTTCGACACTCGAGTATCTTACCAAAGTCTCCATAAAGCTACAAACGGTTTCTCCACAACAAATCTTATTGGTGTAGGCAGCTTTGGTTCCGTGTACAAGGGAGTTGTTAACATTAATGGAAAAGAGACCACAATAGCTGCCAAGGTATTCAACCTTCAGCGTCGTGGAGCTTCCAAGAGTTTCATGGCAGAATGTGAAGCATTAAAGAATATCAGACACAGAAATCTTGTGAGGATATTGACAGTATGTTCAGGTGTTGATTATCAAGGGAATGATTTCAAGGCTCTAGTCTATGAGTTTGTGGTTAATGGAAGTTTGGAAAATTGGTTGCATCCAGTGGAAAGTGTTGATGACCCTCCAAGGACTTTAACATTCCGTCAACGGGTGACCATTGCAATTAATGTTGCTTCTGCACTAGATTATATTCATAACCTCTATGAAACGCCTATTGTTCATTGTGATATTAAACCCGACAATGTTCTCCTCGATGAGCATATGGTTGCTCATGTTGGTGATTTCGGATTAGCAAGGTTTCTTGAATCATCAATTGAGAATCTCTCTTCTGGTGGCGAGAAATCTAGCTCCATTGGCATAAAAGGGACTGTGGGCTATGCGCCTCCAGGTATTCACTCCTTGCTGCTATTTGAATGATATCTTAGAAGTCTTGTTTGGTTTAAAAACTAAAAATATAGAGATAAACCAATTTTTTTGCAAAGTTATAAAAAAATCAGTAAGATCTCATACTAAATACATTATCCCATTTGCTTGAGTGGTTTGGTAAGGTTATATCTGAGATTTTTTCCATTGATAATATTTTCTCTAATCTTGTTTAATTGTAGAATATGGCATGGGAAATGAAATTTCAGTTGAAGGCGATATGTACAGTTACGGGATCCTCCTACTTGAGATGTTCACAAGAAGAAGGCCAATTAATGAATCTTTAAAAGACAGTTTAAACCTCCATAATTTTGTGAATGCTGCTTTATTAGGACAAGGATCAACACTTGCAGAAGTTGTGGATCCAACTCTACTCAATGAGCTACTACTTGGTCGAATCTCGGAGAAAGCTCTAATTTGCATGCTTGAAATTGGTGTTGCTTGTTCTTTCGACTCTCCGCAAGAGAGAATAAGTATCAGTGAAGTTTTGTCAAGGCTAAACAAGCCACTTGTTTGATGGAATTGCTCAAATTCTAAACTTAAAGGTGTTCAACTTGCAACTCTTATCTGCATCTTTGGTCTTTGAGTCTTATATTTGGTAATTGATGTTATTTTGCTAATGGAAACTATTCACTGTACATGGCAGCACTTATGTGAGTTGTATTTGGGCAATAAAATTATTTCTGGGTCTATATATATAGACAATTGTATTAAAATGTCAAATAATTACAAGTAAGACCCACTTAATAGAGTGGTTTCCAAATAATTTTTACCTGTAAGTATTTGAGTTGCATAATTTTCTTACATACAAAGATACATTGCAAGTATTAAGGAAAGATAATAAGTTTATTTAATTAATTACAGTATTGCACTTCTAATTACCTCCGACCAAACCAAATTGCATCACCGAGTACTCTCGAACCATACCGTGGAAAATGGAGACGAGTAATATGGAACCTAAACAAGACCCATTAAATCCTAGAGCATAATTCCAAAGTGTTAGAAACATAAATTTTGGCCCTCTTATCTATTTTGGACTTGTTTGTTGTTTATTTCTATTTTGTGGATAATTTGGGGATTTCGAGAGTATTTGCATGAATTTGGGTATTAGACGTTAATTCGGTAGTTAAAGGGAATTTATCGGTCTTATATAATTTGCACTAGTGGGATTTTCCTCATTAAACAATAACAAAATAATTATTCTCTAAACCTAATCTCTCTCTTCCTCTCTAGAATCACAAATTCCCTCTTTCTTTCCCTACCCAAACCGTCAGCCTCTTCTTCTTTAGGGGTGGCCGAATTTCTTTCCTCTTCTCGATCCTCTTCTTCCTCAATCAAATCCCTAATTCTATCCCTCTTTTCCCCAATTATGCGACAATACTTGACTCTCAATCCCTAGTCGGCGCCTAGATCCTTGTTTCTTATAGTGGTATCAGAGTTTGGCTGACGCGGAGTTTGAGAAGATGACAGGCAAATTGCAGGAAACTGTGAAGGAAACCGTGGTCGTCAAAGACCACACCAAGCATGAAGCGTTGCTTCAGGCTTTGGAGGACGTGGCTGTACAATAGTCGGTGACACCCGACCAACTAAAGTCGGCCGGGAAGAAACTGACAACCACCATAGAGCAGATGGGGCTGATGGAGAAGACAATCATGCAAATGGAGGAGACCCATGCGCGTTTCCTGCCAACTGTGACGGCAAAGGAGACGAGCCACGCTGGGGGATCAACTGTTACCTGCGTGGGGAAAGCAATGCCAGAGTAGGAGGCGAGGTGGCTTGCGGCGGAACAGGCGCGCGCGATCGAGGCGCAGGCGTTAGGGGAGGCGGCGGACGCGAGCAAGGGCACGGGCGTGGCAAGCAAACCTAATTCCTGCGGAAAGGTTGGCAAGGACAGCCCGGTTCGTGCAGGTCAAGGCTCTGAGGGCCCATCACTGGGTTCGGGCCTATTACCAACTCCTTCAGCCTAGGAGATCGCGACAGCTCGAGGAAAAGACATTTCCCAAGGTTACGAAGGTTAACCCATAATGATGAGATCAGACCGACTAGGCCAATGGAACGAGGACGAGCTCAGTCTGGCTGGCCACAAAGGAACACGGGTCGACCCATACCGGGCCAGGTAGGTTTGACCGGACCCGACTATTCGAACACGAATTGGTCAGAACCGGTTCGAATCTGGTCAACCCTACTCAACCTAGACATCAACGGAGGTCGTGCGTGGGGAGGAGGAAGCTACAACTGCCCCTTCAACCTGATGTACCCCCTAGTGACATTGGGAGTAGAGTGGGTGTAGGTTGATGAAAGATGGGAGCAGGGTCAGGACTCAGGTACTGGGCCAAATGGCTTCGCGGAGGACATGGAGGGAGAAGATGGTCGGTATTTTCCTCATCGGGCGGGGTACGACAGTGGGAGAGACTACCACAGGGGTCCAGGACATTACCGACAGGGCAAGGACATGTATGACGGTTACAACTTACAACCCTCTGTATGATGTGGATTATGATATGGTGTTTAGGGTTAAGCCTCCCGTGATTGAATTTTTGAGGTTTGATCGACATGCTGATATGGGGTTATGGGCGTATGCAGCGGAGAGGTGATTTCTGAACCACTCCATTAGGGAAGAATGGAAGACGCATATGGCATCTTTCTATCTAGAGGGAGATGCCCTACAGTGGACAGAGAGGTCTAATGTAGCAGTCGGGCCCAAATCACCTGAAAGATGTTCCAAGAGGAGCTTAAGTATCAGTTTGGTAAGTCAAAGGGATGGGATCGGAGTAGCTGGCTAAACTAAAGTAGACAGAGACTGTAGCAGAGTACCAGTTAGAGTTCCCGAAGTTAGGAAACCAATGCAAGGGCATGATGAAGGAGACTATGGTTGGATTATGAATGGGTGGGCTGCGACCTAAATTGCCAGCCTCGGTCAAAGTCTTTTAGCCTGATTCCCTTTGAGTTGCTTTTAGACTTGCAGATCGGAAGGAGGAGTTAGCCAGTCGGAAGGGGAGTGTAGTAGGGGTGTTCAAATGGTTACCATGGTTATAACCAAACCAAATAAGGCTAAATTCCATTAACCATGGAATACAATATCATAACCAAACCGTCCAAACTAATACAACAACCAAATTAACCAAACTAAAGTTTAATTGGTTTGGTTAATTGGTTAACAAGATTAACCAATATAAAATCACATTATCATTGACGATGAAAATTTTCCGGTTAATGCAACAATTCGCAATATATATAATGAATAAAACATAACAACCAACACGTAGTTATAGTTGACCCTTAACAAAACTACATGCAACTAAGACAATTATCTTACTATTAGTATAGAAGTATTCACCTAACAAAAATTTATGACAATGGTATGTTAATGAATTGTTGTGTTTGTGTAAATTGACTTAGTCTCTTAGCAATTATCATAGGCTGGAAATGACCTTCCTTTCAAGTTTTCATCTATTATAATGTATGAAATTTATCTAAATTAGGCGTCCATATGTTGTGGTCTACATTTTACATTTACAAATATACACTATATGAGCAATATTGAGCTTTATATTTTATGAGTCTAAAAGGGATTAACGTTAACTCTTGAGTGGTTATGCAAAGTATTAAGTATGTGTATATAATATATGTTAGATATATGACTAATTACTTAACTGGTTAATTTGGTTTGATTGGTTAGGAGTGTCTGAAACCAAACCAAACCACCTAAACCAAACAAGCTAAAAACTTTAACCAAATCAAACCAATTGTCCAAATTAACCAAACCAAATTATCCAAATAGTACCGGTTAAAACGGTTACCATGGTAACCAAACCGTTTGAACACCCCTAGAGTGTAGGGCGCTGGTCAAAGGGTGCGAGCGGAGCAGAAGCCGGGACGAGCACAACGGTGGCCTTAGAGGACCCACCTGCGACCGCAACGACACTGGGAGCTGCAAACCCGGTGGCTTCCAGGGCGCCATCTGGTCGGCGCATTCCAGCTCGGCTATCGCCGAAGGGGTTCGTGAAGCTGACACCCGCCGAGATGGAGCAGAAGCGCCATGATGGGCGCTGCTTCAACTACAACGAGAGGAATATTGTGGGACATCAGTGTGCTAAGGGTCATTTGATGGTGTTGGTGGGCAACTTGGAGGATGAAGGAGAGGAGATGACGACTAAAGAGTTTGCAGAGACGAAGGAAGAGGATCCGCAAAATTGAGGCCAACTTTGAGGGCAAGGTTGGTCTCAAGGAAGGTGGATTGTTAGAAACATAAATTATGCACCTCTTATCTATTTTGGACTTTTTTATCGTTTATTTCTATTTTGTGGATTTTTTTATGTTATAATACTCCCGAAAACCCCCAAATAACATAAGTCTAATCTCTCTCTTCCTCTCGAGAATCACAAACTCCCTTTTTCTTTCCCTACCCAAACCGTCGACCTCCTCCTCCTTAGGGGTGGACGAATTTCCTTTCTCTTCTTCCTCAATCAAATCTCTAATTCTATCCCTCTTTTTTTAATTATTCGCCAATCCCAAACTCTCAATTCCTAGACGTACGAGCCAAGATCCTTGATTCTTACACAAGGACCCATTTGTATCAACCCCATGGCCTTCTACTTTTCAAATTCGTAATCCAGGCCAAAATTATGGCACCATTCACGAATTGGTGGGCACGTTTTGTAGTTAGTTATATCCACAAAATTATGATTATACTAACGCCAAACGCCACCACAGTGGTTACTGAATAACCAATACCCATTACGATTTAGTATGGGTTGGTTGTGGTTAGCCGCAAAAACTCATCTTTGCAGGCATGGAGCGGTGGGATGCCACTAATGAATATGCTTTTCACGATTATACTATAATGATATACTATCGTGTTGTTCATGAAGATGAAATTTTGTATATCTTACTGTGCCTCTGTGCGTAGGGTTTTGCCTTTTCGAATTTGTCATTCGACTTTTCTGTCGAAAAAAAGAAAGAGACAAAAGTTTTTTATTTACAAATTGCAAATTTATCCCACACGACACATACTATAACTTTTCATTTTGACAATCTACACATATTATAATACACACCATGACCATTTTAAAGAAAAACAAGGATCATAACCAATCACACTAAGTACATTTGTTGTATCATTTTAAATTAAATACAGATAATATCAGGGAGGAAAAAACTCTTCCCCCATTTCAAATTCCCTACTCCAGGAGCGTTTATAGGAAGGGTAGAAAGGGAGTGTCAATTTTTTTCTCTTTCCTCTGTGGAACTGGCCAACTTACTGTACACATGCGGATTTAAACGGGTCCATGAGTGTCAATTTTTTTCTTTAAGCTCTTTTATTTCTCCGTGGTGATAAAATATATATGAAAAGGCAAAAAAATACTCCTTTTTATTGCTAAAAAAAAATTTAACAATAAACTAATGCATGGTATCTAATGGGCTAACCGCTAACCATAAAATAAAAGAGTTGAATGGGCCTGACCTACACGGGATTTGGCCATCAAGTAAAACAAATGAACATCATTGGTTTGTCATTCTAAAGGCGTTTGTAGGAAGGGTAGAATAGGGAGTGTCGATTTTTTTCTCTTTCCTCTGTGGAACGGGCCAACTTACATGCGGATTTAAACGGGTCCAGGAGTGTCAATTTTTTTCTTTAACCTCTTTTATTTCTCCGTGGTGATAAAATATATATGAAAAATAAAAAAATACTCCTTTTTATTGCTAAAAAAATAAAAAATTTAACAATAAACTAATGCATGGTATCTAATCGGCTAACCTCTAACTATAAAATAAAAGAGTTGAATGGGCCTGACCTACACGGGATTTGGCCATCAAGTAAAACAAATGAACATCATTGGTTTTTCATTCTAAAACAAGCTATTTTCTCTGG